CGCTTCTGCTAGTTTGGTAAAAAACTTTAGCGAGTTGCTTTTGTTTTTTTTCTCTTCTTTGTGCTTGAGATGTGCTAAACCTTGAAAGTACATCAATTGGTATCAGAACACAGGTTCCAGGTCCGAATTATGAATTTCTATCTTGTTCATCATGTTGCTAGACAAGAAAATAACAAGCTCGAGATCCTCTTCACTTGATGAACTATTTAAGATCGAAAGATTAAGAACTACAACCCTTGAACGAGACAATGAAGAAATTAAAGTGCACTAGATGGCTTTAAAGTGCAACTAAATGACCGAAGGAAATCAATGCAGAATCTGACTTGATTGTTGAAGATTTGGCGATTCAAAATCAGCCACCAAATCTGCCACAACACCTACAACCTCCACCACCACCAAGACACAACATACCAGTGCTACTGCGACGTCTTTCACTTCGAGATCTACCAATTCAACCGCGCAGAATAGGACATTTTGATCAAGCAGAAGAAGCTATAGTTGACCAAGGCATGAGAATACCTAAGTGCCATGCTTACTATGATAAAAACTCAGATTCGGAATACTCAGTATGACTCTGATGAAGTTCAGTATCAACATGATAGAAGGAGATTTCAGAGAAGGCCACGCAATAATAATCGTGAGAGAGGTATCAACGTGATATTAAGCTTGAAATTGCGGAGTGTGATGGCATATCTCAAGGCGATGAATTCATTGATTGGCTTATAACTATTGAGCGTGTTTTTGATGATAAAGAATATTCTGATGAGAAGAAAGTCAAGCTTGTTGCTATAAAGCTTAGAGGTTATGCATTGCTATGGTGGGAAAACCTCAAAAAAAAGAGCGAGGCTTGAAGGAATAACACGAATTCGCACTTGGGAGAGAATGAAATGAGAATTGGGCAAACAATTCTTGCAAGAGACATATGAAGAAGATTCTTACTTGAAGTTTCATTCTTTTAGACAAGTAACTTTATCTGTGGATGAGTACACAAGAGAATTTGAATATCTTAGGCTCAAGAGTGACATTAAAGAAAATCCAGCCTGCCTAATTGCTCGATATTTGGCTAGATTAAATTAGCCTATTGCTAATGTGATACAATTGCAGCCCTGTTGGACCTTTGGAGATGTTGTCAAACTAGCCAAGGTCGTAGGGACACAACAGAAGGAAGCCAAAGCCACATTTTCATTAACTACCATAAAAAAGCCGAACACTTTCAACCATGGGAGTGCTAGTTTGAGCTCTACAAAGCCACAATCATCTACAACAAAACCAAGTGTCCAGAAAGTGTAAGGGAAGCCCATGACTTCACAAGCTATTTTTAAAAAGAGATGCATAAATATGGAGGACTTTATGGGCTAAACTTGGTACTAAGCTAACACCTAGCACCAATGTTTTGAAAAGCAAGCGCTTCGTCGCTTTAAGCGAGAAGCGAGGCGAAGCGAGAAGCTATCGCTTTTTCCTAACTGAGGCGACACGATCAGCAGAAGCGATCGCTTCAGCCGAGAAAGCGCGAAGCAACCCAGAAGCGAGAAGCGCAGAAGCGAGCGCTTCTGTTCAGAGGGGTCATTTAAAAAAAAAAGTTTGGACCTTTGTTTTTATTATACAAAACAGACCCAAAGTGAAAAGACCATTCTTTCTCTTCTTCCCAACGTTAGCAGCAGCAACTAGCTAGGGTTCCAGCCTCCAGGTAATTTTTCTTCTTTTATTTTTCTTCTTCTTCTCCTTTTCTCTTCTCGTTTTCAGTTTTTCTCGTCCAGTCGTCTGCACAGCTAGGACAGGCACTGGTTTTTTTCCCCCCCTTTTATTCTTCTTATTTATTAATTTTAATATGTATTTTAGTGCATAAAATTAATTATTTTATATATATATGTTATATTTTAGTTTATTTGATTTTTTTAATGTGTATTCTAGTTTATAAAATTAATTATCATATACTATGTTATATTCTCAGTTTATTGATTAATTTTATATGTTTTTTCAGTTTATAAAATTAATTATTATATATATATANAGTGAACTTTTAATTAAGGATAATATCTTCACTTGCATCATTATAAAGATAATTATTATATATATATATATATATATATATATATATATATATATATATATATATATATATATATATATGTTATATTTTCAGTTTATTTGATTATTTATTTTTTTTATATCTTATTAGGGATTTAAAAATGTCCCAAAGTTCGAATTGGCGCTTCGCTTTTGAAGCGAGGCGAGCCCTTGTCGCTTTTTTGCGCTTCTCGCTCTCAAAAACACTGCCTAGCACTTCTCATCATCCCCAAACTGATGGGCAAGCCGAAGTTGTCGATCGAAGTTTAGGTGCTTTGCTTCGTGAGTTAATAAAGAAAATCTCAAAGAGTGGGAATCGGTACTTCCTACTGCTGAGTTTGCCTTTAACAAGTCAACCAACCGCACTACGGGAAAGAGTCCATTCGAAGTTGTCTGTGGTAAGAATCCTCTTGGACCATTTGATCTTTCCCCTTTTCTAGTTGCTCATTCTTTTAGTGGAGATGCTGTTGATCGAGTGAAGAAACTCAAGAAACTACATGAGAAAGTTCGGGCACATATTGAGAAGCAAAATGATAAATATAAAAAAAAGGCTGATACACGTAGGTTTCATGTGGTGTTCAAGGAAGGCGACATGCTTTGGGTTCATTTGAGCAAGGAGAGATTTCCCGATCGCAAGTTTTCGAAATTACAGAAGCGAGCTGATGGACCTTTTAAGGTACTGCAAAAGATTGGTGATGATGCTTATCGCTTGGAGCTTCCCAATAACTTTGAAATATCACCTATCTTCAATGTAGCAAAACTTGCTCCCTACTATTCTGATGACTCGAGGGCGAGTCCTTTTCAACTAGGAGAGAATGATGAACATATGGAGGCCATGTTTTCTCAACAATGGAGGCTTATTGGGCTCTTGAAGGTGTCAATGAATTTGGAGAATCGGGCCACGATTTTAAAGTGCTTATACTAATTAGCCTCGGTTCAATTGGGGGCCAAGAATCTCAAGAAATTGAAGAGGTCCAAGAATCCATTCAAGATTAGGATTTTTTTCCTTAAATATTAGGATTTCTTAATTCTTGTTTTAGGAGGATTATATTTATAGTTCTAATCAAACTAGGATTATTAGTTGGTAGCCCATTCCTAGTAGAATTATTTTTCCTATTTTAATTAAGATAGGTTTTCTTAGCCTTATTCTTATTCTAGTTTAACTAGGATTAGTTTTGCTTAACCTTATCAATTTTACTCATTGTAAGGTCTATTTGAATGGCGCAATTTGCTGAAAATAAACATAGGTGATCAGTTTTTCCAAGCTTTTGCTTCAAAAATGTGATTTACTTTTTATTTCACTGTTCTTCCTTTATTCAACGCTTCTTGCAATGTTGCGGGACTGAAGAACGAGTGGGTAAGGTTCTTTTCATCTTACATTCTTCTCACGTGTGTTTGAAGCACGCTTTTGCTAGTTTTGTGAAAAATTTTAGCGAGGTGCTTTTGCTTTTTTCTCTTCTTTGTGCTTGAGAGGTACAAAACATTGAAAGTACATCACTATATAACCTTTCAGAGAGCTGCATAACTTAAGTAGATTAAGTTACAATTGGTTGCTATCAACTTTTTAACAAACGTATATAGGAGTAAAAAGTAATCTAAGATCCTCAGGCCTAAGATGATAAAATTTCTGTGAAAACAGAAATATTTTGTACCTAGGGGATTGCGCCAGAGGTTCCTATAAATTTGTTGAGTGAGATTAAAATTCTTTTTTCTGATGAATACTTTGGTTCTTTTCGATAATTTATGCAGAAAGTGGATTACTTTGAGTAATTTTTGAAATATTTTATTTTTGTTGACTGACCAATTAGGATTTAGACATCCCAAAGATTGGTAACAATCTGCATTCAAGCTTAAATACGGATTAGAGGATAATTTTTCAGACCATGGTAATTATCTGTACATTTATAATGGTTTCACCATCTGAATTTAGATACGTAGGTGTTAATCTCTTATAAGAATCTACTCTAGGGTGGGGTGGGCGGTTTGGATTGTTTAAACTGTTTTGCAATTTCCACCATTTTCATGAGAGCATCAAACCTTGCTTGTTACATTATTAATATGTGTGTGATCGTGCGTGTGTTTTCCTTATAACTCACTCTCAGATTGAGATATTGCTGACTTGTGCCCATCAATCATGTTTATGTTTTTTGCTTGGTTCCTACATGCACCAGCAAACCTACCTTACCGCAATTGAGTGAACCAGCATGAAAAGCTTTTAGAAGCTCTTGAAAACATCTTAGCTCTTGAAAACATCTTGTTAATCAAGGACCCAATGCCTTTCTGAATAAATAGCCGATATATCCACTGAAGCTTTCTGTTTTCCCCATGAACGCCTCATCAAAATGGTGATGCTATGATCAACTAAAGTGTTTTATGTGGAGTTGATCTCATATGTCAGTTAAGCTGATGCAAAACTTTCAGATAGACTTCCACTTGAAAATGTTGCAATCAGTTCAGTAGAAATAAATTTTACTTCCCTCTTAATTACTAGTTACAACAGTCTTACTAGGTTTTCACATTTCTTCTCAGAGTACTGTCAGTAGGGCAGATTTAAAGCTTGTATAATAGTACTTTTACCATGAGCTTTTACCGAGTGCTCACTCTTGTGTCTGAACTGGTTACAAGCAGATGAAACTAGCCACTGGAAATAATTCTCTTTAAACCCTTTTTCTTCTACTCCCTACCCCTCTTGTTTATTTTTGTGTTGAAACAAAAGCTAGAACATATGATGTCCGGATAATGTTCATATACACAGCATGGTAATGGAATTCACTTTGAGTCTTACTTTCTGCAACCTTTCTCATTCTGGCATATACCTTCTCATTGAATTTGTTTCAAAGCTAAAAAATGAGCTCCTTTCACCTTTGTTTACCCTTTGGTTTTTGGATGCAATCTGAATCTCTAGTTTGCACTTATTCCTTCTCTTTTGGCAGGCATTCCCTTGGGCAGAGCTTGGATGATATTAAAGGTTCCTTCGAGTGGTGAACTGGCAAAATCTGCTAGCGTGGCCTGTGTACTCCTGCATCTTTTCCCATTAACAACTTCCTGTTGTATGTATTGTGTCTATCGTGTGGATGCTCATTGATTTGTACTAATCTGTAACAAAGTACAACTTTCAGAGATTAAGGTTTTGTTTTCCATTTCTTTCCCTTGGGGTGTTCTGGAACAACTATGGTTGCTTGTAAATTCCTCTGATCTTGACAGTGGGGGCAATATTCTTACAAATTTATTTCAATTCAACCGGTTATAGCAAGTTATGCTCTATTTTCCATGTTACTGTACCGAGTTTGCTATCAAGAGTTACACGTTGCATCTAACCTGATGGTTTGAAAAACTTATACATGTCAGTGCTTAAACTCTTCAAATAATGCTCAAAAGTGGCAACAGAACAAATTTTCAGATATTGGAGTAAATGGTCTTGCTATGTCTTTGCTATTTGTATCAAATGAACACTCTTATTTGTGAAGTCAAAGATCAACTGAAAATGATTCCCATTGAACTCCAATCCAATTAAAATTCGTTGCTTATTTCCTCCTTCTGCAGTAAACTTTTATGAGAAAATGGATTAAATCCATTAGGCTATAATCAAACATAAAAGAAAAACTTCTATAATGCGTGTGGTGAGAAAAGGCACTCATCACCAATTGCGCCAAACAAAATGTAAAAGTTGTGAGCTGCCCAACCAAAGCATGAATTGACATATTAGACTAATGCCAGGATATATATATATATATATATATATATATATATATATATATATATATATATATATATATATATATATCATCGTAATTCACAAGAGACTTCTGGAATTTGTTGTGTGCAACAATGAGATACTCAAAATCAAGTTTGTAGCAGATGTCTGTTATCTTAATTATACACATTAAGTAGAAACTTGTTTCTGTAAGAAAACAAACTGCACTATTCCCTAGCTTCAACTGCTTTCTGAAACATGACAACCGTGAGGGTCACAAGGGAAGCGTAAACAGCATTTGGGATCTTCTGCACTACCTTCCCAACACCAGGAACTCCTTCTGTTGTCCTCTTTGTTATAAGAGCAACTGTTGGTGCTACTGCCAATGTAATAATCAGTCCCTGACTCACAGTGATGAATGTATCCTTTGTTAACTTTTTAATAAACTTGACGAATTCTTCATGATCTAGTTCCCCGTCAAGATTCATGTCACATTCCTGTAACAACGAGAAAAAAAAAAAAAAAGATCAAATAATACTGTTATAAAAATGAAACAATCCCCTAGATTACGATTACTCTAAAAGTCAAAGTGAAAAAGAAACACCCATTGTTCAGTATGAAGGAAAAGGGCCAGTAAACTAATAAAGTTTATTTCTAAATTCATGTCGATATATTACCCAAGATTAAGTTTCATAAGGCTAAGAAAACACTAATTCTCAGAGAAGGAACATAAGATGCATCGTTAGAACTGAGAGTCATTACTATAGCAAAAGATGAAACTCTAGTTTTCAATCTAACAATGTGTGGACAATTAACTCTGCCTAAATGATATCTTGTGCAAAATGGTTCAAGTGACCAATCAGTTAAAATGCAGCATACCTGCATCAAGGCTCTAACTTCTTCTTTAGGAGGAGGATCAAAGTGAGGACCAGGCAAAAGCTTGTTTATATCACTGCAAGAACACAAGTGATTAGATGCAACACCTTCTCAAGTAATAAACGAAAAAATAAAAAGGTATAATGTTCTCCACAAGGTATTGCATGAATGAGGCTGAAAAAGAAATTATTGGCTTACTTGTAGACAAGTAGAACGGCAATATAAAGGTCTTCAAACTTCAGATTAGCTCTTCCTGTTTCATTTTTGAAACGATAAAACACCTTGTCTGTAATCTTTCGCATCTGTTTCTCTCTCCATTGCTTCCCTGCAACAGTTAGTAACAACCTAAATTAGAATAAGAATCACATTTATCTTTGTTACAGTTAACTGCCTGTGGACTGGAACCTGTAAAGCCTTAAATACCCCAAAATGTTACATCACCTGGTACTACAGGTTATGAAAAGTGATAGTATATTATAGGTCGGCAAGCTATAATTGTTATAATATCAACCCCAAGTCATAGACTCAATGAAATGTGAGGTAAACAAGAGTAAAATAAGCTGTCGTAAGATGTAGACAATGTTAATACACAAAAACTGTAGAATGTGATGTTCTTCTACATGAAAGACACACAAGTAACAGCCAAGTATTTTACTTTTGACAGCCACAAAAGAAGAGCACTGAGGTTACAGTAATTAAAAATGTGCAATAATTGTTGGAGAGAACCGATAAAGATGATATGAATTGAGCTTAAATGCAGAAGAGAGGATCCATATGGGGCTGAGTCGTAGTTGTTGTTGTAATTGTTGGAGAGAACCAATAAAGATGATATGAGTGGATTTGTGTCTTAGGTCACAGGTTCAAGCCCCCACACCATGCAAAGCAAAGCCTAGTATTTAAATGGAGAGGGGTAGAGGGGCAGGCCCATTATCCACCGAGTTTCGAAGGCTGCTGTTGGTCCAAAGGATCGGTCCCAGACGGATTTCTGGTCATCAAAAAAAAAATAAAGATGGTATGAGTTGAGCTTAAATGCAGAAGAGAGGATCCATATGGGGCTGAGTCCTAGTTGTTCTTGTAATTGTTGGAGAGAATTGATAAGGATGAAGTTACACAACCTCACAATATGTAGCACGTAAATGGGATACCACTGCAAACTAAACAACAACAACTACAACAGCAACAACAACATATCTAGTATAATCCCACATAGTGGGGTCTGAGGAAAGTACTGTAAACATACCACAATATATAAAGATAGCATAATGCAGCAGGACATGAACCCATCTTTGCTTCTAAAGTTCTAATGTAGTTTTTCTTAAGATTTCCAGTGTTAGAAGAGTCAAACTTAAAAATTACGAGAATTTCTAGAACATATCCATAAAATAATCTCTTTTCGATAGTCACTTTTCTCAATAAATTGTACATCCTTCATCAGTTAAACTTGATTTCTATCTAAATTGTGATAGCCACTCCTTCTAACCACAAAGGATACTTTTGTTGAAATTTGCCTTTCAACAATTGAATCATCCCAATAACTGCAATTGGTTGTTTGAACTAAAAAAATCAACTCAAATGGTTTGTTGCTAATTTTTATTCATTCAAAATCAATAAAAGATGCAAAGCCTTGTTAAATAGTAACACTAATCGGACGAGATAATTTATCAGTATAAACTCCAGCACAATCAAACAAGCAGAAAAAGGGAAATCCCTATACTCATTTCTATCATGAAAATCAGGAAAAAATTGTTGTATGACATTTTGCCAAAAAAAAAAAGAAGTATGATATTTTGGCAGGTCAGAAATTGCTATAACACCACCAAGATCAATCTTTTGAGACTACAAGTCTTTACCCTTCATATACAAAGGCGGATATAAGATTTAAACTGATAATTTCAACCTTCATTTTCTCACCACTGTGTTCAAAGTTTGATATTTATTACAGTTAAGTGATTTTTTTTTACATGTATCAATAAGGTGTAAGAAATACAGGATTTAGTAGAGTTGAAACTAAAGTGCTCCTCTTTTTACATAACTAAAACTTTCAGCTAGGAGATTCACACCACATCCACATGTAGGAGTGGCAAACGGGCGGGTCGGGTCGGATATGGTTCGGGTCGAAAACGGGTAATGAAAAACAGATCAATTATCCGACCCGATCCATATTTAATACAGATAAAAAACGGGTTAACCGGCGGATAATATAGGTTACCCATATTATCCATGACTTGTATATGATCACTTTTGGGAGAATTCTTAGTCTCCCAACTTGAGGAACCCCCAATTTGATGCTTTACAAATGTATAAGTTAGATCCATTGGTTACTCATTGGTTAGATCCATTTTTTAGGGAATAATATGGGTGGTTAACTTTTTTCTTTTAACCATTTTGCCACCCCTATCCACATGTATCCATACAAGATACAAGCTACACCTGGCTACTGCTAGAAAAAGATATGATGGAATTCATTATGATATATATATTAACAAAAACCAAAGAAATTGAATTCGAATAAGGATGCATATGCTACAGCATATTATCAGTTGCTACAACTATTCAAGATGCACAATTAAATCAGAAGTAGAACAGAAAAGGGTCAAATTACCTTGGAGTTTGTCAAGAATCTGGCCCATGGTTTGGAAATGCTGATGAGATAAAGAGTGAAAACTGAAAACCAAAAGAATAAGAATGATTGGAACTAGGAAAGCTTACACAGTCTTAAACCAACAAAGCCAATGTGAGTTTGTCAGGTGGCAGAAGAAACGAAAGGCTCTCTTATTACTAGTTCCACAAGCACACGTCAAATAATATTGTTTGTCTTATATCCCTCGTTTGATATAAGGATCATTCTATTCTGTGTTTGCTTAAATTTCTTTTTTTGACTTCGGTACACGTAATTTCGAGATTATTAAGATTATAATAATTTGATACTTATATATACTATAAGATAATAATTTCGGAATTAGCTGTTTATGGAGTAAAACAATCAAATGTTAAATATGCCCTCCTCAGAAGCTATTCCGCCAAAGTCCTCTAGGAAAGCTAAAGTTAAAATTAAAAATAAAATTTCACAATAGTCTAGTTTAGAATCAAATACATGTTTCGTGTTATGAAACAATAAAAGTAGACGAACAATATTGTAGAGAAAGAGAGAGGGAATTCTTATTGAACTTTGGGATGAATTACAATGACATATAACCCTTTATTTATAGAGAGAAAGTGACTTAGCCACCAAGTTACAAACCCTGAGATCTCTTTAAAATATAGACATTTACCATAAATAAAATTCTATTTATAACACTCCCCTTGAATGTCTATTCAACAGATAATGTGCCTCATTAAAACCTTAACTAAAATAAAACCCAATGAAAAAAAATTCTAGAAAAGGAAAATGAGTACACACATCTAATAATACGCCTTTTGGTTGCCTCGTTAAAAACCTTGCAAGGAAAACCCAGTGGGACAAAACCTTGTAAGGGAAAAAGAGTACAACGCGTATTAACTCCCCCTGATGAGAGCATCAATTCACATCTTTAAGCATTCGCATTCCAATCTTGTGCACCATCTTCAAAAGATCTTTGGTAAAGATTTGATGAACAAATCAGCCATATTAACTTGAATGAATATATTGCACCTTGAAATCATCATTCTTGATAGAGATGAATTGTTTTCATATAATCTTGTTGGAATCGCCAGTTCAATATCTTCACATAGAGGTGAAAACTCTTGGTATCATATTATCATGCCTATAGTTATAGCAAGATACATTTGTGCACAAATTGCACTGAGGAAGTGGTACTTCAAGATCAAGAATTGTATATGATTCAAGCGATTTAAATCCTTCAAGGATTGTCATATACATATAATAGACTTTAATTAGATGCATATCAAGTTTTCATGTCATGCTAGACAAATAAGATATCGAAAACTGAATGCACATATCATTGGCTTCATACTTTCAAGTGTTTGAACTGAAGGTCCAAAACTATATGTCTTTCGTATGAAAAAAATTCTATTCGAATTGTGTCTCTTCTATTTGGCCAATATTTTTGTGTCAACGGACTTAAAATTCTCATATATACTTAGCGCTTTCATAGATGTCGTCGACGGATATTTTTATCGGTTCCAACCTCCTTTTTTTTTTTTCATAAAGACATAACATAGAGATCTCTTCATTTATATTTTCAGGTACCTGAATCTCTCCTGAGATTTTATGAAGTGTTATGTCATGTGATCTTCTAGATCACTTGCCTCCTTTGTTATGATCATTTAGATCATTTGCTCATCTTCTTTATCAAGAAGTTTATTTGAAACCGATTGTCTATACACTTTAAGTGTACCATAGACTTTGTCCTTCTAGGACTTAATAGGAGCATTTGCAATGAGAATATAGTTACTTTCTTTGGGTCAGCAAATGTGTCTGGCATGCTTTGCAATATATCGCAAATGAATTATCCTTTTATGAACTTCAACTTCATATTATCTTATTCGAGGATCTAGATGTACAAATGATAATTCATTCCACGTAACTTTTTCTCAACTGTTTATCATGTCTCCCCCTCGTGTTAGAAAAACTAACTTGTTACCTCAACTTTGAGAATCCACCTTTGTGCGTTATGGTGTTAATCAAAATATACACTGCACATCAATAATAATAAGATGGAATTATTTGGTTCCTGACCCTGAACCACTTGTGACGGGAGAAAATAATATACTTTGGTATATAACGTATATCAAACTGATATAGATAACTTTGTTCTCATAAGCAATTATTTAGCTATTAAGTAGAGGCACTTAATAAATTATTTTGCTAAACCATTTGTGATGTAAACCAACTTATAAAGATAAACTATCTTGAATAGAAAATCTGGAATATGCTCTAAATTAAATTATTGAGCAAGTTACCTCGAAAAATACCAGATTGCGGGTTAATAATAATTGCACATATAACCATCTCATATATGCATCTTATGTGTATACATGGCAGGTGAATGGGCCCATATTCACATTTGATGTTTCCATCATTCATGGGATTCAATCCCAATTTTAGTTGGTATATTAATTAATGAGAACATCCAACATAAGAGAATTCGTAAAGAACTTTCTAGTTCTTTAATATTTACCCAAGTGAATTCTCTTTTATTTTTGCACATCATATTTAAATTGATATGGGTAAACCAATTATGCCAACTGAATAAATTATCAATATTGATAAACTTCAGATTTACACCATGACATGTGCAATTATTAATAAACTTCAAGTTTATTATGATATGAGTTTTTATATCAATAAATATCCACTTTATTGTGGTATTATTTTATTTGTGTAGTACAAACTGGAGAATAAAGCGGGTAGTTTTTCACATATATGTCACCGCGCTACAAGTTGTAGTAATATAAGATATTAAATCTTTCCTTTATTTATAGTCTCAATATAACCAATCGCTTTCGCGAATACTTTAGAAACTCAATAAGTTTCTTTGAGACTTACTACAACACAATACCTTATTGGTAATAAATTGTGTTACTCCAAAATAGTATAATTGGCTCTTGTAGAGTTCTCAATTAATTTTGTACTATCACATATTCATCAATATCCATATGGTGAATATCTCTTTTACGGAGAAAGTTATACCATTATGGTCATGGTCAAAATTATATGCAAGATATGTTTCTTGTATTATTGTTGTCCTTTAATAATCACATTGCCAAAATATTTTGGCGTACAATAGGTACATGACCAATGACCATTCATGCCATAAAAATGACATTATTTTCTTATATCATCTCAAACCTCCTTCTAGAGGTGAGTGTGGTATATTCACTACCACTAGCACGTTCATATTCTTCCAAGAATGAATATGTATTCATAAATCAGATGTTGTCACATTCACATCATGAATGTACCATAATTATCTATATGTGCTTTATAAAATCTCATGTCAAATCAATGACAAATATTACTTTCACAGAATGAAGGATTATTTTGAGAATCCTTATTATTCTCATTATCACAATGATGACGATTATAATTTCGTCTATTGCCACGTCCACATCTATTGATACCTTCACGGTAATAATTTTGTCTTCTTTCAGACTTTATCATATACTGCTATCACATTCTCTTAAAGGAATGAGAATAAAGCAAATTCAATGGGACAGGCTTCCACTTCTTGTGCTCACAATCATACATAAATTTGATCATGGCAAGATATAGAAACTTTACCACTTCGAGTGGTTATAATTTCTTACTAACTCCATTAGAGTTATAATCAAAATTTATTGTATTTGTTTGTATTTAAAATCAAATTATAGAATAAAAGAGAAAAATACGGTAAAATACATACCTTAAATCCAGAATTTAATCATGAAGGAAGTTCATGGAACAATTGACAATCATTATGCTCAATCCCAAAGCTTTTACTCAAGTGGTTAGAGTCTCGTGCTGATAACGTGTTATGAAACAATAAAAGTAGAAGAACAATATTGTAGAGAAAGAGAGAGAGGGAATTCTTATTGAATTTTGGGATGAATTACAATGGAATATAACCCTCTATTTATAGGGAGAAAGTGACTATTTATAACATTTCATATTATATTACATTTTTAATTGAATGAATAAAAAATCTAAAATAGATAATATTTAGTCCTTATTATAAGCCCTAGTATTAACCTGTTCACAAACCAACCACCCCTTAAAGTGTAATACTTTTTTTTTTCTTCCTAGCGTTGTTTACTATGTATGGAGTTTAACAAAGGAAGACTATTGAAATTTATAATCTTACAAACGACTAGTATTTTTGTTGCTATAACATTTTTCATTAACGATAAAATATGAAGTTTAATTAAGGTCAAGTTATTTTCAAATATGAGATTGTGTTATTCTTTTTAAAGCTGAGTAAGAAGGAGAAAATGGAGTCACATCAAATAAAACAAAGGGAGTATGAGGGGTCAGTTGATTCGTAATATAATTATGCAATGATTATAATATAAAAAATATAAAAATTATTATTAGAGGAAAAAAAGGGAAACTTACATAAATGTCCCAAATAAATTTCAACTTACCAACCTCTAGCCATTAGTCATAGACTTACCAAAACTAACCAACAAAAATTGAAAAACCAAATAATAGGGTTCTTTCTCTCAAAGAATCACATGCAAAAATCACCTTCCATATTTTTAAGCGTGATTAGCAACATTAGATATAAGACGGAAAGGAAATTTCATGGACGGGGTAGCAAATAAGGTGATGAAATACAAAAATCTATATAATATTCCAAAAATCTAAACAAAAAAGGAATTTTTTTTCAATGAGTATAGTTGAAATTCACTGAAAATATATAGATAAGTCAATATACAAAATTTGAGGAAGATTGGAGGTGATTTGGACTGGTTTTGTATCAAAATTCGTAATTAAATCGAGTTCAAAAAAGTCTTCTGCGACACATGTATCAAACATGCATCACGCATGTATCACACACACAGGTATACATGGATATACATGTGATACACAATTGATACATACGTGATACACAAATGATACACAGTCTGATACACATATCATTTTTTTTCATGTTCAGCTTTTACTTCGAATTTTCAATTCAAACCACCTCAAAAATTCACCAAATCATCCCAAAACTGAGATTCAAGCTTCTTAAGTTGTGCCCAATCTATTCTAATAACACCCACTCAAAACAAAGCAAAAATTTGATATTTTTTGCTACAAATAGCTAATTGGCTAATTTGGCTAATATTAGTAATATTTTATCAATTGGCCAATTTTTGTAATGAGCTACTTATAAATGG